GAGTTTGAGGGCTGTTCAGTGACTGTAGGAGAGCCTTCTGCTTCTAAAATACACTTGAACACACACTCTGCAGCCAAAGTTGGTGAAGCGAGAGAGATGAAAAGGGGCAGTGATGATGGGAGGGGAGGCACCAAGCCGAGTTCTCACAAGAGGTTCAGCAGCACGACATCAGATCATTAATGTCCATCAAATATTTTGGCTTATGTCCAGCTCACTAACAGAACAGTGTAGTGGGAATGAAATGAAGGCCACTGTTCTGACATGCAGGCAAAAAGCCAAAGATCCTGATTTAGATTTCCCTGCCTGTCCTTCTCCCCTTTTATAATACATTAAAGATGACCTGCTCTGCCACAGCCTTAGCGTAGCTCATGTGTATGCAGAACAGGTGATGCAAAATCAATAATGGAAAACAAGTGAAGCTGGCTGCACGTTGTCACAGCCCTTTGAAACCTTGCTATACAAAATGCCAACAGTAGCCACAACTCTCCAGAAACATAGTTATGGTATCTTTGCAAAGGAACATGTAAAAACAAAAGCATAACAATTTAAAGTCATGACTATCTGATCATATCAACGGATTTACGCTTTCTTATATTGACATTACAAATATGCTTGCTTGTGTGGACAAAACATCATGTTCAAATCTATATCGGAGAACTAAATCTAACCTGATTTAACAAATGGCCTGTGGTATACAGGAGGTCAGACTAAATGATCTAATGGTTCCTTCTGTCCCTAAAATCTATGAATCTCTAAAACATTTGGGTTTTTCCTCCAATACAAGGAAGAGGAAAACCTTATTACATGGTTTGTCCAGAACCTTGTTTGACTACAATAAATAAGCCTGTATATTTTACAGTGTTGACATATCGTATACTCATATACTCTTTTCTTCAAAAATGTTACTCTTGGACATACTGCTCTAAACTTGATTTTTCATCTAAAACTGAATTGTGCAATTATAATACACTCATTTTTCAGGTTATTAAATCTACTACTTGTTATACACTGGCGTTTAAAACACAGATCTTTTGACTGGATGCATTTTCCATACTAGCTAATACAATGCTTGTACCTATAACATTTCCAAGAAAAAATCCCTTGGCATTTGAAAGTATGATGCCAAGATAACTTTGCCATTTGAAATTAATACTATTTGAAAACAAACTCTCCAAGAGCAAAAGCACTCATTAGATTCAAGAACTTAATTAAGTATAATAGAATTACACAAACTAAGCTAAAGATGATGTAAAATTATGGTGCTTGAAACTAGTTTACAACATTTTCCCTTCTCCATTCTTTATCCTGATCTTGCACAACAGCTGTATAGCACATTTAATTTCTGTATGAGATTTTCATTTTTTAAACTTTTGCTATTACTTCATGTCATTTAAAACAAAAACACATTTGTCTTTTTCAATTTATGGCATGTTGTTCTGTCTCTATGGACCTCTGAAAATGTACACTTATTTATCTTTGTTATTTGGTATAGGATTTAGGATAAGCGTCTTAGCCCAGTAGATTTTTCAAAAAATTCTCAGACACCCTGCGTGAATCTTTTAATTGGAATGATACAACCTAAAGATAATTTGGACATGTTTTCAAAAATCAGTCTCTGAATGGCCTGAAGAAGAGGGGTGATTCTCGAAAAGACATACCCATTTCACTTTTATTTTGTTAGTTCAGTTTAATTACATTTTAATCGAAGTCATTATTCAGCTGCACCTGTAATTTTCTTAATTAAATAAACTGTGCACAATTTTTCCTCTCAGACCCACTTAAAGGATCTTGCCTCTATATTCCTGCTTGCATTCGTATCAATGGGAGATGTGTCTTGTAGTACTAAAGCAGAATATCAAGTCCAGATCTACTACATGGATCTGAAAGACAAACCTGCCAACTTTCCCATTGTCGATCTATTACTTTAACTTGGATCAAAGAAGCTAAATTTATTCTGTAGTTACTGTTTAGGACCAGTATTTATAAAAAGAAAGGCCAAGATCTGTGTGCAAAATTGTGTGTGGAGTTACCTGCCTACCTTCATTTGCACAACTATTATAACAGCTTTTATAAATCAGAGGATTTGGCATAGTTCCTAACCAGCAATTTGTGTAAACCCTGTGATCTGAAAAATCCCCGTATAAAAACAGCACTTGTCATATTTCAGTGCAAAAAGCAGAAAGAGTAGCTTTATTCTAAGACCAAAGAAGTAACTATATTAGAATGAATAAGGAAAACAGCTTCTCTCTTTCACTGATTCACTATAGCGCTTCTGCCTGAGAGCATTCCATAACGCTATCCTGACTTGCTACAGTTTTAAAGAGACAGTACACCCACCCTTTCAGCAACTTCTGACTCTACACATCTGTTTCTTCCATTCAGACATATCTGCTGATTTTAGTCTGGTGATAAGGTACTTTAAAAATATTTAAAACTTTTAATTATTAATTCTAAAATTAAAAAAAAACTTTTTTAGCATAAATGTATGCGGTCTCACAGTGGGACCCAGACAACTATTCAGAATAGTGAGACCTATGGCAATCCTTTGTAAAACACTTCAAAAGGAAAAAAGGATAAAAGAAATTAAAAATTAAAGGGTATATAACTTGTCCCAAATATTATTGTTTTTATTGTTCTAAGAAATAAGAACAAACTTCCCCCCTGGACTGTTTATGGAAAAAATAATCTATTTATAACTATATAATGAAGAATTTAATTTATGTTTTGTGCTGTTATCTATGTAAAACAAATCAAATGATTTGGTACTATAATCAAAGTAGTCTGTGGTCTGTTGACTTCACTGCAGATTTACACCAGATGAAGATCAGGCCCTTGAAATTATAAAGAGCAAATGAATATCTGTTTTCTTCTAATATGTGAGTGGGAATAACTTTTTTGTGATTGCATTATCTCAGTGAAAGTCTCGTCTCTCTCTCTCTCTCTCTCTCTCTCTCTCTCTCTCACACACACACACACACACACACACACACACACACACACACACACACACACACACACACACACACACACACACACACACACTTTCTTATTTCATTCAGCTATTTCTTCCCCTTCCTGCAGTTCCACTACCTTCCCTTAAAGGCTTTGTTGCTGTTGTCCACCCTGGTCCAGCAAAACATTTAAACATGTTCTTACATGAAGCCACTGAAGTCGCTGGAGCTACTCCCATGCTTAAAGTTAAGTATGTACTTAAGAGCTTTGTTGTAGCGGGACCTTATACAGCACATACTGTATTAAGCAAAAGCATGATAGGCTGCCACATGTGCCTGTCAGATCTGAACTGAATGGAAGTATCAGTTGCGGAAAGAAATCAATCATGTTACATTGCAGCAGGTCCCAGTGATAATTAAAACTAGTTTTGTTAATGGCATTTACTTTATATTAAATAATAGTAATATTCAGTATGCATATAATGCTTTCCATCTGCAAAGAGATTAATAAGTATTAACTAATAAATCATCACAACAGTCCTGTCAGGCAGGTAAGCAAATATCTCCATTTTACAGAAAGGTAAACCAAAACAGAAAATTTAACTGACTTGCCCAAGGCATAGCTGGGATTAGAACTGAAGAATTCCTGACTCCCCATCTTGTGCTCAATACTAGGAAAATGACCAGGAGGGATTATTGATATCAATTTTATGTTGTGTTTTACATCTTAGAATTAAACTTTGAATGACTTGAAATCGTCTAGTAGTGCATACAGATAATCTAGGCACTTCCATGTTCTTATAACTGTTACTATTCGCCTCTCTCACCCACTCCACCTGTTTTTTGCTATGATCAGCTGCTGTGGCACATTATAAATTAACATGAGCTCTTCAAAGCAAAGACAATCTTTATTGTTGCATATGCTCCAAAGCTACTGCTAATTATATTTTGCTAAATTCAGTCCTAGTATAAGTGGTTACAGCTCTCGTTGACTTAAATAGTAGTTGCATCTCCTGAATTTGGTCCCCAGAATTGTAAAATTTCAACATTGGAATGAACAGACAAATGGTCTCTTGATCACTTTGAAGAAATATTTTGTGCTGATCTCACCTCTTACAATCCCAGAGCCGTCGTCTTTTTGCTAGAAAGTCTCTCACTACATTCAAAACAGTGCTCAGACCTTCAAATGTGCAATTTTAAAATGGTTTTCACCTAGTAGTTCTCAACCAGGGGTACATAGAGATCTTCTGGGGGTAGATCAACTCATCTAGATATTTGCCTAGTTTTACAACAGTGCTACATAAAAAGCACTAGCAAAGTCAGTAAAAACTAAAATTTCATACAGAAATGACTGGTTTATACTGCTCTATGTACTATACACTGAAATGTAAGTACAATATTTATATTCTAATTGATTTATTTTATAATTATATGGTAAAAATGAGAAAGTAAGAAATTTTTCAGTAATAATGTGCTGTGACACTTTTGTATTTTTATGTCTGATTTTGTAAGCAAGTAGGTGTTAAATGAGGGGTACGCAAGACAAATCAGACTCCTGAAAGGGGGCCAGTAATCTGGAAAGGTTGAGAGACACTGATCTGAGGAGTACGTCTATACTTACCTCCAGGTCCGGTGGTAAGTAATCGATCTTCTGGGTTCAATTTATCGCGTCTTGTCTAGACGCGATAAATCGATCCCGGATCGATCCAGGAAGTGCTCGCTATCGACGCCGGTACTCCTGCTCCGTGAGAGGAGTACGCGGAGTCGACGGGGGAGCCTGCTTGCCACGTCTGGACCCGCGGTAAGTTCGAACTAAGGTACTTCGACTTCAGCTACATTATTCACGTAGCTGAAGTTGCATATCTTAGTTCGAAGTGGGGGGTTAGTGTGGACCAGGCCTAACTCTAAACAGGGGAAAGAGGCATGAGTGCTATTTTTCCTTTAAACAAAACCAAGCTTCTCCTTATCAGCAATGTGTCTTGAGAGCTTTAGTTTTCCCTGCCTGTGCACATGCGCCCAGGACATGACATGGTGTTTAAGGGAACCTACTGTTCTGATGCCATTCTCAAAGGCCTGACGTGCTAGAGAAGCAGGTCCGTCCACAGTCTTCCCATCATCATCAGGACCCCAGCTGGCACTGTAGATGTGTATATGTTGTGGATTCAGACTGAGAGACTTTGCTTCCACCATGTCTGTAACATCACCATCCAGCATCCTCACTCCTTCAAAAAAAAAAAAAGAAAGAAAGGCAGTAAATGTGAGAACTAGATTAATGAAGCATGTTTGAAAAACTATGTGAAAAATACAGAGAACTAGTCTTTGCTGATTACATTTCTTATGTTCTTATTGATTATGGCACTCAAATTGTAGAGTCGGTTTCTCTCAAGCTTTAGGAAACATCTGTGCTCAAATTCCTTCATCCAATACACAACATTTGAATGTTAAAGAAAAACTTTAATTCTGGGGAAAACTTAAAAAAATTATTTGTACCTCAGTACATTTATATTTCTCATTTAAAAATAATTATAATTTCCTTTCCTTCTCTGCGACGCAGTGCAATTTGAGATATGGCACTCCTAATTTGATAGACATAAAACACAGGATGTATGCTGATAGCTAAACACAGGATTATGTCTTCATTGCAGGAGTCTGCAAAAGGAGAAGCTGGGGAGAAAGTTCTTGGGTACTAGCAAAAGTGTTACAGAAAGTTACAGACAAACTACAGCATTATTTGCATAACATTATTCTACCTCAGTTGCAAAACTGTGAACATCCCTCTCTAGGTAGGAAAGTGTGTAAGACCTGATTCTGAAATTGAGTTGTGTACGCAGAACTCCCATTAATGTCAATGGCAGTTATGTATAAATAAGGGATCTCAAGATCCAACCCTCGGTAAACAGTAGTATTTGACAAACTTGTGGGCTGGCATTTGTAAAGTGGATATCTACATGACGGCATGGTGTTTTAGGGGCAGTGTGATGAGAAAGCCTGAAGGCTGTAAACTGAGAATATTTTGGAATTTTAAATAAATGTTCTTGTTCAAGTCAACCATAACATCTCAATATGATTTAATCTTGAGGGAGCAGCCACTTGAGGCCAGTTTAAAACTTTCTCACACCTTAATAAGTAGCAGCAATGAAAGGATAACCTCCAAGTCAATGTGACATCTGATCAAAGATTTTCATTTTTAAATAATAATTAGTATTTAACTGTATGAGATAGTATATGTTGATGCAACACGGCTGCTACTCTGAAACCTTTCATATATGTTGATGTTCACTTCCACAATTAACATATTTGAAGTCTTTCCCCATTTAATAGGAACATTACTATTTATAAATAAAATGTATATATCTTAATTATAAGAACATGGATTTGTTCATGAGTTTGCACTGAATTAAGTTGAGTGTTTACCAAGGCCTTACCTTCCAAGGTATATGGATTGGTTTGTTGATAGAGGATTTGTTTTTTCTCATTCTAATTTACTTGAATCTGAGAAGTGATCATATTTCTAAATTCGCACAAAAACTGACCAGGTTCTGTGAGATAAGGAACTTGTCCAAACAGTGATCTCACTATGCATTTTACTTTATAAAAAAGCCATTAAACCAAGTTTGGTAATCTCAGGTTTTATTTTTCCTCCTCAGCAATCTTAAAAATTTAATGAGGGATAGAAGGTATGTTCTCATTCTTTCAAGCATATCAATATATTTGGTTCCAAACTAAAACAACAAAAGGTATACTACATTTAAACAAAGCAAGATAAAAAACAGAGGGAGAGAATTTCATTTGTGTTACTACAACTATGTAACATGCTTTATGAATGTAACATTCACTACAGTGAATAGTAAAATCAAGTTCTATCCCTGGCATCTGAAATAATTCACACCATGTTTAATGTTAACAAATATGACAGTGGTAAAATCCAAAAGCAACCTGTCCACTCTTCTCTTTTTACCAACAATTAGCAGACCTCAAGTGCAACTTTTATCAAAGGACATATCATTGGCTATTTTAAATAGTTGCTTTCTTTTCTTTAACAATTACATGAGTTGTTAATTTTGCCCCCTCACAGAACATACGAAGTGTTTCTCCCAGGTGGTGATAGCACAATTATAACCATCCAGAAGGCAATTAGCAGACTTAGTTTGCAGACTGTCCACTAAATCTTCAGAATTCTTTAAACTTCCAAATATTTGCCATAAATATCAAAACCTAAGTGGAATTTTAGTGAGCACAAACTTCTAACAAATCCTGTAGAAGCATGTGAAAATTAAGTGAAAGCACGTTTTCCTTTCAAATATTTGTTTTTAATCAGTGTGTCACTTAAGCTTAAAGAAACAGCTGAACAAATTCCTTGTCAGTTAAAGACAATCTACATCTGTTCTGTCATAATTTAGTATAACCACTTTCCCATCAGGACTCAAGCCCAGCCAAATGACTAAGCACCAAATCCCCACAGATGCTCTGCAACTTCCACAATAAGGCAGAAACAACAACAACAAGCTAGCCATCCCTTCTTATAGCAAACAAAGAAAGCCCAAAACCCTGTAGGTGGTAACTTGCTATGTATGAGTGATGTAAAAAGCCACTGGCAAACATTCAAATAATCACATTCCTTTGGCTCAGCTAAGGGAGGCTCAACCATAGCAGAGAGGAATAAGAACTGGGAGCACATTGTATGATTTCTTCACAAGAGTTATCTTCCAAACAGCAACAGAATTAAGGTCCAGATTCTAATCTCACTCTCACTGTCTCTTGTCAGCACAGCTCCATTGATGTCAGCAGATTTACTCCTGATTTGCACTGCTGTGAGAAGAGAATCAGACTTTTGAGGAAATTATTCCCTGATCTGTTCTATGGTCAGTGTTTCTGGCGTGAATGGAAAAGAGAGGAAGAGGACAAAGCACTTAGAAAAAGGTGAGCATTACTGGTGGATATATTGCAAATGACTTTCCATCACAAACATCATTAATCGTGGTGGTTCTGCTGATAGAATTTGATGAAATATTGATGGAAAGGATTATCTTCCACTTCCCTTTATTTCCTCTCTACACCCCCTGGGCCCTGAGAGCACATTCTGGCTGAGGTGAGGAATACTGTTCCCTGGCCAAATTCATACCAGTGGAAGCAGGCACATCTCTGAGGAAGGTGTAAAGTGCTCTCCATCAGTAGGTCAAAAGAGGCTCTTTAAATCCACGCCTACACTGGGAATTAAACCATAAACTGGACTCTGGTTCAGTTTAATATGGTTTCAAATATAACACAGTTTGTCCGACTAGGGCAGATGGGACATAACCATTTTTCAAACAGTGTTTAAGAAACATACTCGTGACAGCCCGCAACACATTGTAAATATGTGGATGAAGTTCTTCCTTCAGTTGCCAGTGGAGTGGCTCAAAGGATGAGTTTGGTTTCTAGTCCAGAGCAAAGTGATTAAATTTAGTTTTGATGTGGTTACACTCCCTGCCCACTGGCCAGGTAAACCATGTTTAACTCACATTAGCCTGAATCAGTTTTAAACTATGTTTAAAACAGGCTGTGGTTCAGCAAATATGGCTGAATCAATTGGGGCTGTCCTGCAGCACTAAACACATTCATGATGCTTAATAAATAATAATGCATTTAAAATCCAGCATTGCTATGCAGAGGAAAGCCTTACAGTGTCTGCAGGAGGTGTCTGCAGCCTTACTCTGTCTTGGTCCTTTCATTAGATAGTGAATAATGTCTTTTTTCCCCTTCCCCACAGCTATTCAGAGCAAAGCTTTTAATTTCTTTTATTTCTTTCAGCAATACCTTTTCTAAGTTCCCCCTCTAGTATTCCCTACTGTCTTTCATGGAGATGAGCCCATCTCCATGTTGGCTTAAATATCACCATTTCACACTTCTGCATTCCCAGATGGCCTCTACTGTAGGACAGAGAATCACCAGTTAATGAGTCTGAATTACAGTGTTTTCCTGAGAAAGAAGGGGATGTAGAAAGAAAGGGGATGTGATGACACTATGGTTTCATCAAATGCAAAGTGCTGAATTGTATTTAAGCAGTATTTCTGCATTCAGTTCTGTTCATTAACCGTTTCATAGATCACGTCTCCATACTATGTTACAAGAACTGAAACATATCTTAATTAACCAGATACTGTTTAAAAATCTATAGAAATGACTTACATTTCAAGTGAATGGAATAAATAAGTGTAATAAAATCTCATACTTCAGGGCATATTCTGCTCACCTGCCATGGTTAGGAAGGAAGAAAGTGCTTTCTCAGCAACTATGATCACAACCAAACAAAGCACTAACACACATGCTTAAAGTTAGGTAAGTGCTTAAGGGTTTTGCTGGATTGGAGTCCATATGCACATGTGCATTCTTGATTTGTACACCGATGTCAGAAAAGTTCAGCATTGCGCACACGTTGAAATGTGCGTCTTTGAAAATTTGTGCCAGTATGCTGAGGAGTTACTTCATTCACCACAGCTGGTCAAGTCCAGTTACCCTGACAATTTGTGCACTTAGGGGTATGCAGCTGTGGTCTTTCCTCTAATCAGGGTGAGAATACTAACTCGGTCTCTCTCTTTCAACCCTTGGAGGGGGAACACATCCAGTGATGGCATTTTTTTTCCTTTACTCAAGGAACAATATTTGATACAATTCATTTCAGTTATGTCTTCAGATATAAAATGTCGGTAACATCGTTTAAGGTATTATATATTACTGAGGAAGATTTTAGAAGTCCACAGGTTTCCTAATTTTGTTACTCTTTGTATTCACATATACTAAATTCCATCCACCCACCCACCTGCCCCCAGGCCAACCTCAGAAATGGCCATCTCCCAAACCAACCAACCACCCAAACAAACAGCTGGGCTCAATCCCAATTCATCCACCATAATAATAAAATTTAAAAAATAATCACATTATTCTGGTGTAACCTCTACCATCAGTTTCCACTGTCCCTTCTCCCTCACACATAGTTAATCCTGTGTGTCCCTTATACAATTTCTCCCCACACTCCACTCACCATAACTCCAATATATCCTTGGGACAAGTCTCTTTTTCCCTTGCCCTTACCCATTTCTCACATTTCATCAATCAAACCAGCCAGACCCAAACAAATTCATTTCTTTATCTCTCTGGATGGAGGTATCATGATTCTTCCTCTGAGGAAGGGGAAGGCTCCAGAACCTTCCCTTGTCCCTAAGCTATAATAAGATAAATCTTCTGGAAATTGGAAGAATAAGCCCACTCCTGATTAGTGAGGAACTAAGAGTCTGACCTGCACCTTCCCTACAATGGAACAAAAGCTGGGCAGTAGGGGATAACTATATTCTAGTCCACCCAGAAAAGTCACTAGGGAGAGGTGGGCTGACAAACTCTTTTGTATGGAAGAGTGGCCTGGTGAGCTGGCTGGAAACTCACTCAACATTTTTCACCAAAACCACTGGGGACTTTCTGTTTCCTGCTATACATGCAGAGATGCATTTCTTGGGTCACAGTAAATGCCAACAATGTTGTCCTTGCCCTTCCTTAATACTTTAAAAAAACATTTTTACACATCCATATTAATAACACTGGTGATTATTTTTTCAGTGTCTCTTTAAAATATGAATAATTATTAATATTGAACCTCTGTGAGGGATAAACAGAAGTGAAGATGATGGTACATTTTTAACATGTAAGAGTGGCAAATTATTTCTTGATATAGACAGATTCATGCATTTTTAATAATAATCATAGTACCCATCTCTTTTATAGCATTTTTCATTAGTAGATCTCAAAGCACCTTACAAAGGAGATCAATATCATTATCCCCATTTTACAGACAGGGAAACTGAGGCTTAGGGATGTGAAGTGACTTGTCCCACAACAGGTCAATGGCAGAGCTGAGAATAGATACCAAATCTCCAGAGCCCTTGTCCAGTGCTTTAGCCATTAGACCACACTGCCTCTTTTTGAATATAACTGATATGGTACACCAAAGTCACAAATTTAAGTTTTGATGCGGTCTCAAACCTGATTTCTTGATGAAGGATTTAAATATTTTAATATAGTCCTTTCATCAGAAAATCTCAAAGTGCTTTAAAAACACTAAAAACCCAATTTTCACAACAGACCTGTGAGGTGAATAATTATTATCCCAATAACACAGGCTGTGAAATTGAGTCATATAGAGAGTAGGTGACTTGCCCGAAGTTACGCAGTAAGTTTCTGGGAGTGCTGGTAATAGAATACAGGTCTCCTGAGTCCTCATTCTGTATTTTAATCACAAGTCTCGCTTCTTAACTTTCTATGCGTATTTAAAGAGTTCTACAGAGCAGTTCTGAAGTATCACTACAAAAGGCTTCCCTTCAGTAACTATATTTAACTACATCCTGTCAAAGATGCATTTACCTGTCAAAACAGCTAACATTGTTAAATAAACAAATTTCTACCTCTTGTTCAAAAAGGTTCCTGTGTTCCACTTTGTACAAATTGTACTTGTGTTAACAGTGAGACTGTTGTACATACCTCCGATCTTGGCATTAAAGGCGATTCCTACTGTGCAGTGTGAGTTGTTTGCAATGGCTGCCACTTCCCCAGCACAACGAGTTCCATGCCTGCAGGCAGAACAGAGATTTTTTTTAAAGCAAGTAACATTACCCACTAAAATGCAGATTGTCAATGTTTAAAGTTTTGATTTTGCTCATCCTCAGATGCAAAAATTTATCTGGATGTCTGTGTGAGCTGTTACTATATGACCCCAGCCTGTAGTGCATATATTAGATACAAAATTATATTTCGTAAATAGAAAAGGATTAACAAACAAAGAGATGAGACTAGGAAACAAAAACAGTGGTGGTCAACAACAAAAAATTATGTATAAAATTACAATCATAACCCCTAAGAAATGTCCAAGGGCATCTTTAATTTCTCAAGCAACTGATAAACTATATTTGTATGAAATGAGTATCATCTTTACTCACAAGACCACAGTAATAAGCTAAATGCTGAGTAACTCTAATGATGAATCAAGATATCAGAATTAGATACTTCTCACGAAGTCACTTCTTTATTAACTTGTTTATAACTCACCAAATTTGATCATAGTATCCCTCCCCCCCCCCCCAACTTTGAAGCTCTTTTTCTCTTTAGAAGCCTGGTTTTCAACTTCACTAAAACCAAACTACCTCAAATTTCACAGCACATCTCATCCCAGGGCAGATTCCCCCCCCCCCCCAAGCCTGGAGTAAATCACACAAGGATTTGCAGAGGTATGGGTTTTTTAAAAAGTTCCCTGTTTTTAATTTTCAGACTTCCCTAGCAGTATTTTTGAGTATCCTTGAAACAATTTTTTGCCTCAACAATGCACGAATGCCTGCACTATTTACACAAATTTAAAATAGTGAAACAGGTACCTGAAATTTGATTAAGATTGCTTTGAAACTTTACACAAATTTCTACTGCGGATGAACTCAGAAAAATTTCAAACTACACATACTGAATGAAGACAATGACATCTAGCTTAAAGCCTACATTAATTCATATACCATAAATGACAACAAACACCCCTTTATTGAATGTTTGCATTACACAAAACATTTAACCACCACCCCACTAGGATGTTGGTGCAGTCCCAGAAAAACTTATGCTTGACATCCTACAGAGACATGCCTTGAGAAACTTTCAAGGGTCTGTGCTTCATTTCCTTGGCTCCTTTTATATTTATAATGTATAGAAACAAGTTCCCAGGCTTTTAAATGGCACTTTAAAAAGATGCTTGGCTAAAAGGGTTGTGCACTTGTCCTTTGTGTTAATGTCAAGATGATGTAGTGCTGTAGAATGAAAGAATGAAGGAAATCTTGGTTATAATATTTTGCCAATCTACAAGACGGGTATGCTAACTAGAAATAAGAAAATGAGCTTTATTTGTTGTTGTTGTTTTAGAAACAGGAGTGTGGAAAAAACCATTCAAAGATGGTGCAAGCTCAACAGCGTTCAGGTAAAGGAAGGAAGCTGTCATATTTCAAACCAACCTCCTCCCAATTTATTATAGAGCCAGGGCCGTCCCTATGGGGTGCGGAGCCTGGGGCAGAATTGGCGGATTCCTCTCTTCTGGGACTGACCGCGCCGGCCATTCGCACCAGCCAGCGGGGTCCCCCAAAGCAGTTGCCCCGATTTGCCCTACTTAAGGGATGGCTCTGGGCAGAGCTGGCATCTATGTCTAAAGTAAAAGTCCATTATAAGTCCCAGTTTTTAATTGCTTATGCTCTGCCAAATTTTAAATGCTTGGGTTGAAATTTTCCATGCCAGGTATCTATGCCTGGCTGAGTTCTTTTCGAAAATTATCTCTATATATTGTGTCTAAGATGGATAGAACCCAGATTTTTAAAGAAAACCTACAAGCAAGAATCAATTTTCTCCTCTCCTCATTCTTTCTGTTGCTTTTCTATGTGGAGAAAGTCTGTCTGTCTGTCATTAATGGCAAGCCAGAAATATGTAAAAACCTACTTGTGAAGACCTTAATTAGGGCTGGACTTACTGCCTTCTGGAGTCTTCCCATCTAACAGAGAGAACTTGCAATAAAGCTTCTTCATAAGAAAAGGGAAGAGGCATTCATCACTCTTACACATGCTACATTTCTCCTTGTGAACAGGAATTGGGCACTGAGATAGGGAACTTCTCCAGGTCTATACTGAATTGAAGGCATGGCAAATTAAGAAAGCCTGGCTGTGCCATGAGGAACACAATACATATCAAAGAGAGGATAACAATGCTCTTTCTTTTGCCATCCTCTTCTTACTCACACACAGCATTACTATTCTTACAGAGCTTGATCCTGCTTTCATTGAAGTCAGTGGCAAAATTTCCACTGACTTCAACAGTAGAGAGTTTAGGCCCACAGTGTGCATCTGTTATGATCACCTAATAATCATCCAAATCTGATAATTATATAGTTAACTAGCCCAAATTACAAGACTAAAGTGAAGAAGGTAGGCCAGAAGCAGCACTTTCAGAACTCAGGCACTAGTTCCAGAAGTCTTTCTATTTACAAGACAATAAAGCCTTCTCTTGTCTTGAAGCATCATACTCCTAAAAGCTTTCCTCAGCATGTATCTATTGGTGGTTTAAGGTTGGAACTATCTAAATAAGGGCAATGGGCCAAGCACGCAGCAGCTGGATGACTGTTACAAGAGCACCATCATCTCCAATCTGCATGTTGATCATAGGTCCCTCAGAAAGGTCCATGACAGTTATCTTGGCCTCATTCCTATGGCTAGACCAGTGGTCAAAACCTCAGTGTGGGCAAAGTCATGGGCTCTTACAAATTGGCACATGAGTGTAAACAGCCCTAAGGGAGAGTGTAACTGAGTGTTAAGGAATCTGACTTACATCGCCTGAGATATCAGATCCGACGTTGTCTCTAGTACCTCTCCCTCCCTAAATTTTAGCCCTTCTGGAACTCTGACAAACTTTGATGAATTTCTCATATAAAATGTACCCCTATTTGCATGAAATGGATTCTCCCAACTATGCTGCTCTTCACGGCAAACCCATGCCCTTCTTCCATGGAAGCATTTACATAGCTTGCTGCTTTTACAGTCTGTGTTCCTTGAATGATGACCTGCCATATTTAGTTAAAAGACAAAAGAACACAAAACACATGCTGAATGTTCTAAATGGAAAGGGTACGAGGGACATTTGGTACACAGTTTCTTTACAATTTACTGCATTTTTTTCTGTTCATGTTCCCTAAAGTCATAGATCACAAGCTTTCACTACTCAAAATGCAGTCACCTTAGATTCTAAATATATATTATAATTGTGATGTCCCAAGTGTTATGGAACTCTCTTTAGCGCACAGGACTGGCTTCTTTGGTTCAGGGAAGTAACATGCAATATGATTTTAAAACATTTTTAAAAATGCTGATATTCTAAAACTAAGTTTAAAATCAATGATTTGCTGGATTCCCACTGAAGTTTATCAGAACAGTTAGTGGAATCTTTTCTTTTTACTGAATAAGTGCAGGTTACCTTTAAGAGTCTCAAGAAAATATTACATTCTTTTCCCCATGGAAAGATTTTTGCTTAGCTTTATCAACATGTTGCTTTCACACAAATACTTCAGGTTCAGTGCTTGGGCTGAGGTTCAGTCCAGTTTTTATTTGTTTTCTGAACTGGTTCACTTAGCCCACTTAAAATTACCCTAATTAAAAGCAGTTTTTTTAACTCTGACTACAGGTGTGCTCCATGCTGGCAAATCCTTGAAAATCAGCAAAGATAAAAGGGATGAAGAATGATGTAGTATACATTATTGTTTCTGTATACATTACTGCTTTCCTCCTCCTCTTCCCTCCTCCCATTCCAAAAGCATTGTTGAGTTTGAGATGTAACCAAGATTTTAAAATGAAGATGCATTCTGTGAAACCAGGAGCCACCAGAGCAAGAAACAACAGAGAGTCCTATGGCACATTTAAGACTAACAGATGTATTGGAGCATAAGCTTTCGTGGGTGAATGCCCACTTTGTCTCTGTAGCTTTTTACAGATTCAGACTAACACAGCTACCCCTCTGATACAGAGCAAGAAAGTCCTGCTGAATAATATACAAACATATGTATTGTTTTCAGCCTGCCAACTGTCTTGCTTGACCTGCATATCTTTTCCTTTTGTTTCTAAAGTTATATTTCACTTCTACTTGCTTCACAAGGGTGATATCCCTTAACAGGTAAAAGCTTAATGGCAGAAGCATGTCTGAAAGGTATGCTGACTATTGCTAACAATTCACAGAACAGACTGCTGTGTAGAGGTGTAGTCATATTCTAAAGAGGCCTTCTTTGATCAGAGAGCAGAAAATTGCACACCACTGAACTAGAGAATTTGACATGCCATCAAGATTAACATTAAGGTTGGAAAGGTGGATGGTTGGAAATGGTAACTAACAAAACTATAGTTGTTTATTCATCAGTCTCTCAGTGCAGAATTGAGTTGGGTGAATACTGTAAAAAGATATTCCCAACAATTTTGTTCCAGAATAAAACAACCCAACAGTAACCTCCTCGCATTTGCTTCTACAGTATCTGAAGTACTTTTTATTCTTTCCCCCCATATGAGTAAACTTTTGTACAAATGAATGCTGGCAGAAAGAGAGTCATATCTATGTTGTTATGTGTTTGCATGAGTACTCACAACAACACACTGTGCGTGCAGGCATTTTGGAAAGCTTTTTATGTGCTTGCGAGTAATCGAGTCAGGAAGCCCAAACACTAGTATGTGAATTAGATGGCTGCAATCACCAGTGTGAATAGTGAACGCTCAAAGCAACAGGCATAATGAAAAGTTTGGGAACAGTTGATACTGCAGGCTGAAATATAGTTACACCAATTATTTGGGTAATAACTCCAAATAACAAATAAATATTTCAAAATTAGAGCCTGTTAATGAATAATTAGAAATAAAGGACAGAAACTAAACTTGTCAATATAAACAGTTTGCTGTGAACAGTTCACCTAACCCTAGTGGTGATCAAAGTTTAATCCAGTGCAAATATCTCAAAGGTCCTTGAGTTTTTGTATTTAAATTCTTCTCAACCGTTCACATTCGACTGTCCTAGCCCCCTG